ATAATTATTTCTTAAGAATAGAATGAAAATAATATATAATAGTAAAGTCTAATAAATATGTAAAAAAAAGTTTTTTTTGTTGACCGGTTGGACTGGTTGGTTGAACTGATTGAACCAATTGAACCAGACCCAGTGGACAAAATGGGTCAACCATCGGGCCGAGCCCAAAAACATTGACATGGAGTGATGTTTTTCTTCTGCTTGGGTTTGATGAGGATGGACATTAAGCATTTAAGTGAAAGGATTGTAATGCCCTAGATCCTACATTGGTGGGGACTTATAAGTGAGTTTGATATATTAGTGTAAAGATCAACCATTACTAATGGTATTACAATAGTCACCTCTACCTTACATCACTTGAGGTGGATCCTATGCTTGATGTTCTATCGAGCTTAGTTCTGATTGTGCTTGGGCTTGATGTCTTATTATTCTTGCTTGGGCTTGATAAAGACATCAAGCATTTAAGTAAGAGAGATTGTAATGCCCTAAATCCCACATTATTAGAGCTTATGATTGAGTTTAGTATATAAGTGTAAAGACCAACTATTATTAACAACTTAAGTTTAAGATTTTAGAGACTTATGGACCTTAACTCGAAGAGTTGCTATGCTAGTGGCAAGCTTCGATCCGTGTCATTTTAGTTGGTGGCATTGTTACATGAAGAAGAGTAAGCTTAGGCAAGAGAGATTGAATGAAAATATAAGTCCTGTGGACCTGTGTTGACCATCATGGCTAGTGGTAGTGTGGACCCCATATCACTTGAGGTGGATCCTGTGCTTGTGACATGATGGATTTAGTTCTGATCATGCTTGGGCTTAATGTCCTATCGAGCCCAAGAGAGATTGAATGAAAATAGAAGTCATGTAGACCTGTGTTGACCATCATGGCTAGTGGTAGTGTGGACCCCATATCACTTGAGGTGGATCCTGTGCTTGTGACATGATGGATTTAGTTCTGATCGTGCTTGGGCTTAATGTCCTATCGAGCCCAATTCTAATTGTACTTGGGCTTGATGTCCTATTGTGCTTGCTTGGGCTTGATGAGGCTATTAAGCATTTATCACTTAAGGTAGATCCTATGCTTGTGATCTAATGGGCTTAATTTGGATTGTACTTGGGCTTGATGTCAAATCAAACATAGTTTTAATTGTGTTTGGACTTGATGTCCTATTGTGCATGCTTAGGCTTGATGATGAGGACATTAAGCTTTTAAGTTGGGAAGATTTTTGTTTTAAACCGAGATCTGAAAATAAAAAAATAAGCGAAGAATGCCGTCGGTGAGCATGGAGAGAAAAAAATTTATTCATTACATGTAATTACTTTTACAATATCATTAGATTTTTTCTTTCTAAATCAACGGATTTCAACTAAAAATTTATTCATTATTCAAATCTAAGTTTTCTAACTTCTCTAACTTGTGCCTTCTGGCTTTGCTAGTGGTAACTAATCAGTATCCTTCTTAAGCAAGGCTCAAGCAAGGCAATTGAGGCAGCAATGTTTGTTGCAGCTTCCGCGAGATTCTCCTATGTAGTGACAAGAAGTCTTACGACGCCAATCATGCGCTACTTGGCTGTGATTCAAAGATCAAAAA